TTTAAAGAGTTCTTATTTTCAGGAACATCAGATAGCTAACAGACCATGTATTTTACCAACCAGCTAGAGCAGACATTTGCATTAATCTGCTTTCTGTTAATTAACTGGTGGAAATGCATCTCCCTTTCACCAAGAAATCTCTTCCACAATCAGATTCTTTGTCAACCTCTATCTTTTTTACAGCCCATGTTATAATGATTATTATCCAGATTATTTCCCAAGGGCAAGCTCCAAATCATCTAGGTCTCCAAATCTTGTGCACATTGTGCCCATTGCATTTGTCTGTGAATAAAGAAAATGTTCCTACCATCCTTTAAGAGATCCAGACACTGTGAACTTCACAAATATGATTTGAAATAGAACTGTATTCCAATGTCAAACAGAAACAAGCTACGGGAGCTGAAAGCTACAGATTGCTAAAGCCAGAAGTATAAAAGGTTGAAAGATAGAATCAGTAAAAATGAAAAACACTGGAGTTACCATTATGTTTTTTCCTCTTTCCTAAAAGCTAATGATATGACAAAAACGAACCTCTACAGTTCAATGGTGGGGGGAGATATCTGTCTATCTTCATTTGCAAATAATCCAAAGCTATCATCAAAAGACTTTTGCCTCCAAATTCCAGAAAGGTGGGAGTAAAAGGAAATGACATTCAAACACTCTCCATTAAAACCAGCTTACAACTATTGTTCGTTGTAGCAGTAATCACCTTCTTGCACTTCCACATAGCAGAAAACTGCTTTCCCCTCACACAAAACATCTCCCCCCACCAACGTGCACAATATTCAGTATTGGAGGACATTTTTCTAGGAGGAAAGACTTGTCTGAAAGGTGGAACACAAGTAAACCCATGACAGCAGCATTTCTCCAGAAACATTAGTCACGCAGTTTTACTCGACCTATACTTACATGTTCTAATATTGCCTTAGCACACAAGTGCAACTACTTCAGATAGCGCAGCAGATTCAGGGGTTGTAACTTGTTAAGTATTAACAGATTACATAGAATTAGTAACAGAATTCTGATCTGTAATCAAAGATATAACATCAACCTGGAGCTATGAAACTTTGTAAACTACACAACATTTACATCCATGTCAATGTATCTATGCTTGGAAGCAGTATTCAAGTAGGTTTGCAAGCCTTGCTCTCAACAGCAACATCGAGCTGGGGTATCACCCACTAACAACACACTTCATACAAAAAAGTACACACTCTTATAAAAAAAAAGAATCTTGAGCAGGCTTTTACTTTAAAAGCAGTACTAAGTCTAATGAGTTTTATTGCTGTGCCTGTGCAATAAAGTGATTAGAGTTCAAACACAATCATAGACAGCTTGCAGATGATGTTCCCTCAGAGACAATTTCAGAAACAATACTCCTATACCTCTGGCAGAATTTTCAAGTGCTACCAAATTAAGAAAAGACAGTAAAAAATAATGTTACACTAGTAAAAGTAAAGAAAAAAGTCCCACCTCCCACCCTTTAATTCCTTCAGAACAACTAACCAGCTTCTGAAGCTGCAGCAGTATCTTGGGCTTTACAGTTCTATTTTTTTCAGGTGGAAAAAATAGGTGTAAAAGATCATATTCCCTGGTAAAAACTGGTGTGAGATAGAAGGAAAAAAAATTAAAAAGCAAAGAAAATGTTTCCCATGCAGTGAAAATCCTACTTCAACTACAAAGGTATCTGTCACATGCCATTTCCTTTAGCAGAATTACTCAGGATCTTCTGAGTAGCTTGAGAATGATCTAGCATTAGGAAATGAAGAGACAACAAAGACTTTCCTGACGTTTTCCCTTCTACTTTGGTGATTTTTAGCGTTAATTGAGCCTTACGTGATTTTAGCAAAAGTGGGTCTTGTCCCCTAGAAGAGACTTAAAGCTGAAGAACTAGTTTGGTGATGGACTGCTCAGGTACCAAAGACAGAGCTGGTAGTTTGATGATTTGGGAGAAACGGAGCAGAACAGCAACAAAAGGAACCCTAAGACGTTAAAAACTACAGCACCCACAACGGAAGGTTTTGATTAAAGCTAACCCACTACTTCAACAACTCCCACATCTTCAGCTGCAAAGGATATGTATTCTGAAACATACAGAAAACTATGAAAGTAGAGAGTCTCTATTGCTGAAATTTCATCACGTGTAACTCAGCAATCACAAAAACTGGAGGACACAAACAGACTTCCTTGGGGGAGTGGAGAACACGGACAGTATCTGAAGAGAAGTGTTCTTTGATGAACCTTGATGTTCTTTTTTTATTTACTTTTTTTTTTATGCTCACCTACAACTTTGCCTCACCTACAGGAGAGGCAAAGGAACATATTAAATTGCTCCTAAATATTTTATTATTACTTCAGGATCTTCTGTTCTTTATTACATCAAAAATACATGGGTTTAGATAAGAAGCATATTAGAGGGCACATGGAGAACCTCGACACGGGCACTTTGTTCTCATGTTTAGTTAATACACATTCATCTCATTTTTTCAAATTAATAATTATGGCTGCAAAACTACACCCACTTTTATCCAACACAGATGCTCTTTTTCAAATATCTTAGTCAGAAAGGGGAAATATTTTCACTCCCTTAGCACAGTCTATTATATTCACTGGCAATTCCTATCCAACTGAAGTGCATTTACAGGACAGCAGTTCACAGAGAGCAAACTAAAATGCCCTCAACTATACACACACACCACGTAGAAAAGACCCACAATATTTTCACTTGTTTAAAGAACTGGCTACATAAACAACTACAGAAAATAGCTCCATGTAAACATGAACTAATAAATACAGACGACCAACACCCCCACTCCCCAACAAACACAGTCAAGAGTAGATGGAGACTACAAACTGGTGAAAAAAAACCAAAAACCAACACACCAAAACAGACATCTTTCACCTAAACTCTAGGATTTCTTCAACCATTGTCAATATTATTAAATATATAGCCTGGGCAGATATTTTTCAGACTGAAAGCTAAACTGAAAACTACTTCTGATTATGTTGGAATCAATTGATCAGGAATGATTTCAAACCAGAACAAGTCACAGCAACGAAAAGAAACACCACTTAACAAAATGCCTGCACTTCGTGCTAAAAGCTTACATAATCTTTGAATTTTGATCATAAAAACAAAAGCTTACTGTTGAATCAATTTCTTTTTAGACCTACACCAGGACTGCAGATACTCTAGAATTTTAGGCGAGTAGAAAATAGCTTAATAATTGTTAAATACCGGAACACTTAAGTGTGTAATACTGGAATAACCACTAAACAATGTCATTAACATGAGAAGCAGTCCGAACTGCAGCCAGTTTCCTGCTCACTTAGCAAAGATTAATTCCATCTTCACAGGCAAGAGAAACATTCATCTTGCCTTACCAGGAACAACCTGAGCAAGAAATGCTAAAGGAAAGAGGGCTTTTGTTGCTTAACCGTTCTTTTTAATAAGCAGGATAGGTAATGTCAACAAGATCGCTATTCTGTGCTCTAGGCAAAAGAATCTTAAAAGAAGGACGTGGAAGGGAGAGGCAGACATGAAGAGCAGATGGCACCGTGTCTTTCAGAAACTGGGGTGGGGGAATAAGTTTCCCTCAAGAAAATATTCCTGAATATCCCTCGAGTAACTTAAAAATAAGGTATTAGAAGATGAAAGACACGTCTTCTACTGCAAGACAAAACTGCAAGAATTTGTGTTTTAAGAGAGGAATAAATGATGTACCCTAATAAAAAAAAACCCAAAACAAACACCAACAAAACCAAAAACACACAACACCTCTGCCTGTCCTTAACCTGCTCTGTTCTTTCCCAAGTTAAAAGAGAAAGGATTTTTTTTCTTGTTTATTTCTGGCAGCGCTCGCCATTTCGCAGCACACTTAGCGCACACGGAATTGATCGATACCGCTACAGACACAAGACTAGACTACCCATTTACTAACCACAAGAAAACGTCCTGTTCAGCAAAATCCTGCACATTATAACACCGAGATTTTAAAGGCATTGTTAGACGGGTCTCACTGCTGCCTTACACTGGAGAACTGAGCACTTGACCAGCTCTCAAACTGATACACGACTACACCTGTGCAGACCGTGCAGGAAATCTAGAAATTGTATCTAAACCTACACAGACCAACAGTCACATTCGAAGCTTGAGCAGAAAGTGCCAGGCTTGTCATGTAAACCAACACTAGCTCCGATACACAGCTCAGAACAGGGTTTTTTTGTGACACTGATAGGAGTTTCCAGCAATAATGTACCAACAGTTCTCCCAACCACTGGTTGCTTCCATAACCATTTTCCTCCTAGAGCAGCGTGGGAAAGTCCTCGCACCTCCCTGGCTTCTCAGGACCCAAGAGCTGGCGTTTGAAACCCAACTTCTGCCGTTTTGAAGGAAAAAAAGGAGTAGCTGCTTTTTTTTTTTTCACTACCAGGCAGTGACGTGTCGAGTAACAAAATACAAATTCTTGTTTAGAACCGGAAAGTTTGCCTTTTCAACCTAATCTGCTGCAAACATCTGCACATGCACACACCCCTCACTATCATTAAAGGACGGGCTTAATGCTTTCAGAGCAGCACCTATTCTAGGCTAATGAGGCAGTAATGAAGGCTGCCATTCACCAGTGAATGGGCCGGAATAAGAGATTTAACTGAAGTTAGGTTTATTCTTATTTAAACTAACACCGTGAACCACCAACAACTGCACTACCAGACTACTGTATGTGACACTAGGTGGTTACGACTCCACATTTGTTCCAGACAACTGATCCGGAATCCAAGCGCTGCACGTGTTTCAGGTGCTCATGTGAGAACATCTTTAAGAAAAACGATGAAAACAGCTCCTGCCTTTACAGTCACCGCGGCCCCCAAACATTTGCCCTCTGAAAAAAGGAAAGATTTCTCGTCGTTCGTACTAATGGACAAGAGTTATCTCAAGCTTTCAAGTGCTGATGAGCTCAAAGCCTCACGTTTAAGCGACAAACCCATGAACATCCACTTACCTGAAGAACAAGAGATAAGAAAAACTGCGAACGCCAACTTAGTAGCAGCTCCCATTTTCCAATGCTGTTAAAACATTTAAGTGAGTTTAAGTATCCAGTTTCCTAGGTCCTGCAAGCTGGAAAGTCTCCCTTCTTGCCGAATCGTTGTAAAGCAATCTATTGCAACATTTCTGCAGCAGATCAATGTTCATAAAATCAGTAAAATCAGGTTTCTTTAGACGCTGACGACCTCCCTCCGACTTTCTAGCGAGAATCCAGGTTGAGGGATGGATATATTTGGAACGGTGTTTCAACACACAGGTGTCATTTGGCTTCTGTACAAACGGTGGCAATATTTAATTCATAAAAGTATGCTACGAATCCACTTTAAAAAAAAAAACAAAACCAAAACACAACACAACAAAGTCCACAATTAAGCCGCTGGACACGACGAAGTCTGTGAGGACGCTCCAACTCTGCTTTTCCACATCAAGCTGCTTGAAACATCCCTCGAGGGTGCCGAGGGTCGGGCAGTCGTATCGCGATCAGCAAAGACGATGTTTTCGTCCCGGCTCCTCTTATACAACACGTAGTGTTTGGGAAAAAAGTAGCTCCATTTCAGTCTCGCACCCCAAAAGCCTTGGGGGGTGAAGGGAGGCGGTTTTGTCCGTTTCTTTGATGAAAACTACCTTAAAAAAAAAACAAGAAAGCCCCCAGCCACGCGTGGGCAACACTTCGGTTTGTTTTCTGTTGGTTTTGTTAGTTATTATTCTTTTTTTTTTCTTTTAAATAACGCTGAGGGATTTAGTGTAACCCAGAAGAGGGAAAAGGGGAGAAACAAGTTTGATAACGAACCTTCGGGCTTCCCGAAAAGTGGGAAAATCTCAGTCAGCGAGAGCCGCGCATCTCCCCTTCCCTCCTCGGTCCTTCTCCCGGGCCGTGCAACACCCGCTCTCCCGAATCCCAGCAAGATTTCAAATTCTTCTACGAGATTTCCATC